CAGCACGGCTTGAGTGGTACACGCTTCCGAAATGTTGAAGAAGTGCGAGAATGGGTGGACGAATGGATTGCTTCGAAACAAACATCGTTTTATCGAGATGGTATCGCCCAGTTGCCAGAAAGATGGCAAAAAGTTGTAGAAAGTGATGGAAAATACTTTCATTGAAATAATTTAAATAAATTTTTTACAATAAATGCTTTTTCTCAGTATTTTTTGGGCGGAAACTAAGTTAAGGTCCTAATAATATAATCCCAAGTAGGAATTTACTACTGGCATCAAAGTGGCCCAGTACCGATTTATGGTAAACGTTACTGGCATAGTACTAGATGCCAGTACGGGTTTAGTATTGGTGTGATACTGAGATGAGATAGAAAAGGGCCAGTATCGGAAAACAGTACTGTCACAGTACCTAAAATCAGTACTGTACCAGTATAAAAAAATATTGATTCCTAGCACTAGGGAAGTACCTATTCCCAGTACTGGGCCAAGTATCGATTCCTAGTAATTTTTATTATTTGTACAACTGTTAATATCACAACTATATAGTATATTTATGTATATTATATTTATGTATATAACTATATAGTATATTTATGTATATTTATGTATATACTATATAGTTGTGATATTAACAGTTGTACAAATAATAAAAATTACTAGGAATCGATGCTTGGCCCAGTACTGGGAATAAGTACTTCCTCAGTGCTAGGAATCAATATTTTTTTATACTGATTTTAGGTACTGTGACAGTACCTAAAATCATCTCAGTATCACATCAATACTAAACCCGTACTGGCATCTAGTACTATGCCAGTAACGTTTACCATAAATATACTATACGTTTAACTATATAGTATGGAAAGAAAGGATCAAAAGACTATAAAGGGCGGCTGCTCTCGTTTGTACTTATACATATTTATTTTTAATAGTCATATGAGAAAAAAATAGTTATTTAATAGTCATATGAGAAAAATTCTTCGAGACGACGGCTGGAATCGAACTCAAGTCTTCCGCTTGTCAGGCAAACGTTCTTACCACTGAGGTATTTAGATTTCGTGTTAGTAATCTCTTCCGTTTTTCGGTATCGGCACAATACTGGCTCAATATCCTCTATTAGCAGATTGTATACGATTTTTATTTGAGTATGCAGTACTGATTCTACAAACAGGGCCAGTACCAATAGTACAGTTTTTTAATACTGGGCCAGTACCGAAAACGACAAACACTTTTCGATAACACCCCACGTACGGTACGACTATTCAGTACCTAACCTTAGTACGGAGCCAGTACTAACAATACAGTTTTTTATATTAGGCCCAATACTGCACCCAAAAAATAATAATTTTAATAGGAGTGGAATTCTCTAAATCTTAGAGGGTTTTACTCTTATATTATATTCTCTCAAGAGAATTGCTTTAAAATCAAGAGAAAAATAATCTTAAACACAATTCTTAAAGATAGATAAATTTTATATTGAATGTACAGTGCAAATCTATATTTGTTCTTAATCTACATTTTCTCTTATATATTACTTCAACTCAAAAATATTTCTTCGGATTTAATAAATTTTATCGCATCCACACGAAAGAAAGATCAGAAAACTTTGACCGGAGGTGCTTGTGTGTATCTGTAGATGTCCACTTTTAATGCCATATGAGGTGAAAAACTTAAGACTTGGGATCGAATCCAGGTTCTTCTCCAGGTTGCTTGTCAGGCAACTGAGCTATTTAAGACTTCATGTTTGCCATCTATATACTCAGTGAAAAATAACTCGTTGATTAACGTCAAAATGATATCAAACTAACGTCGGTTTGATGATTTCAACGTCGATTTGATTGAAACGTCGACAGTGAATTGACAATGGAAGCTCTGCGCTTGGTTGGCAGTGGAGCGTGGCGCTTGGTTTCAACCAATTGTACACGATAGTACGCAGCGAAACAGTTCTTTGCGTCTCTTATACTGCACGTAAAACGGCATTGTGTCTCAAATTAACATATTCCTTTTGATATAGAGGAACACAACTAGAATAATATCTCATAAATGCACGATAAGTGGTTCCCTTTAATGAAAAATAAATATGCTTTTTGTAAGATATTTCTTTTAGAACATGGAGTTAGAGGAAAATTCACTTTATACGTAGAATATTTTTTTTGGGTATGAGCCAATACCAAAACCGAATATCCGCTTTTCGTTATCGACCCAGTATCAGGCCATTTTTCCGTACTGGCGAAACGATTCCTACTTAGAATTGTAATCCCTTGCTTATGTAGACTGACACTGATGTATCGTGCGGATCGCGAGTTAATGAAGCGCGTATCCCGAAATTAATGATCCACCTTTTAATTAAGACCATAGACGATTCTGGCAGTACGATTATGTAGGCATTATGTGGGTCTACCTTGCGAGGACGAGTTCACCGATAAAAATGGACAAACTAGTTCTTGGAGAACGAATTCTTCGTTCGAAGTATCGCCTGCCCCGTGAGTCAAGCTCCCCTTCGCGCACCGTTTAACGGCCGGATTACTCATCTAATCGGGACAACCACGATCTTTATCGTCCCGCGCCGCGGTGCCTAATCAATTTTATGCGTGTAAAAACTCGCGCGCCAATTTTCGGAACGCTTCGTCACATGCGCGAACGCAACATTCGGCGAAGCGCGCGCCGGAATCGCGGAATTCCTATTGCGCTCGGGAATTCCGCGGAAGAATGCGTTGGCCGTTGCGTTATTATGCGTGAACAGCTCGCGACGGGAATGTCGGACCCCTGAAATTCTTACGAATTCTGTTTACCGAGGGATTTAGCGAGATTTGAATATGTTAAATTTGACTCACTCGCGTGCTTCGTAGCACTCATCGTTTAGAATTTGTTGCATCGAAAGTTACATCATGAGAACCTCTCGCTGATCGTACAGTTAATGACATCATCGCAGAACGTGTATGCCAATACACTTTTTCATCTATCATTAAAACATATAATGTAAATTGGTAAAATCGTCCAACCGAAATCCCCGTTTCGGTGGTATAAAACAAGCTTATATTAATAGTAATAATCGTCACTGGAAATTTTGTATAAATTAAAAATACGCAGTAAACAGCTCCCTCGTGTTACCAATCGATCACTCCGGGTATGTACTTGTCGATAAGTTTTTCATAGTAAGGCCACAATTTCTCGATGTCGGGTACGGCGTCGCTCTTAGTGTACAAATCATATTTGCTGCAAAACGCGATTCATAATGTCAGATTAACTTCCTGACTGACAGCTCTCATTCCGCAGTTATCTTGAATCAACGTAACGCTCGATGCTTACTTGAATTCCACCACCCATTTCAGCATCTCCATGTCCTCCGGAGTGCAGAAGTGCATGTAGTCGCCGCCGGCGTGCCAAGGGTAAAACGAGTGGAAACGAATCATCGCCAGAGCCTCCTTCGGCAACTTACTCTTGTTGTGCTCGAGTATGCGGTACAAGTATTCATCGTGGCCCCACGACATCGTCAGATTGGATATCCCGCACTTGGGCTTGTAGATGCCGTACTTGGTGCTGCAACAGAGATACAGCTCTATTAGCGAAGATCATGTCACGCTGTTCTATTGGTCGTCTCGGTCCGCAACTTAACATCATCGAACGTTATTCCGTTAGGTGTGTGCAGAAATTTCATTTTCAGATCGATGATTTCAAGCTGATGTCTTCTTCTTCGCGAAAAAATTCGAAAGTTAACTGCGAGATGGCAAAAGGTTATAGAAAATGAGGGAAAATGTTTTGGTGATTGAGTTGTACTTTAACGTGAATGTACTTTGGTGATTGAATTTGTACTTTAACGTGAACATATTATATTATAAAAATATATATTGTATAGATATTGTATAAATATATGCTATAAAGGTAAAGTGAAAACTTACGAAGAAAAGAATGAAAAAACTTTCGCACACACCTAATACGTTCTCATATGTATACGGAGATGTATATGTTTCGCAGCAGAACTCGTGGAATTTAAGCCCTCAGCGAAAATCTCTTACAAGATTTCACGATCAGCTTAGTTACCACACGGTTTTCCCTCCGGGACATGTTTCCTACATTAGAGATATTTTCTTTTATACGAAAAGAAAAATTTGACTATAGATAACCAAATGTCTGGTGAAGTATAAACGAATTCCGAGGTTTAAGTTACCAAAATTCTGTTCAAATTAACAAGATCCTGATTAACCAAATAAGATCTCTGATCAACCAGAAATCTTCCTAAGTAGCAAGATGACGTTGAATGACAATTGACGTATTATCGGCGTTAAAGACGTCATTCACGTGATCATGTTAGCTCAAACAGAATTCTAGCAATTTCAACTGGAACATCAGATTCGTTCAAATTTCAACAGACATTTGGTCCGACATCTGATCGATCCAACCAAATTTGCTTTTCGTGTGCACATGCAGCATGTGAAAAAGTGCGACGTACTTGTAGCGCGAGTCCTTGCCGTCGGGATTGTCGTCGAAGCTCGTCTCTCTGTACACGATGGAATCACCCCAGGCGCAACCGACCGGGAACGTGTCACCCACTACCGCCCATTGAGGTTCTCCGTAGAATGCCATTATCTGCCACACGGTCAACGGTTATCCAATTATATCGCGCTGGTGTAAGTGCGAGTAACCGACCCTCTTTGCGGAATTTCGCCTTGGCGAAAAGGATTCCGCTGATGGATTAACGGATTAACGGATTCACAGGCATTACGTGACGAGTTGACGTTACAATGACATTGTTTCTCTATAAGTGAAGTATCGTTGATTACACGGAACGCTGCGTTACCTTGCCAAGATCGTGAATTAAGCCGGTGAGATGGAACCAGTCCTGATCCGGATGTTCCTTCCTGATGGACTCCGCGGTTTGAAAGGCGTGGACGATGTTAGGCATATCGGTGTCCGGATCACTCTCGTCCACGAGGTCGTTCAATTTGATCAGGGCATCCTTCACCGACATCTTGAACTTGTTGAACTGGAGCCAATCTTTCATGCGAGCTGCAAGAGCAACGATTAATCAGCAAGATCCTCGGAAACTTTCGGTTCTGCAGCATATCTTCAGAATATCGGTTGAGGCAACGAGTCTTTCCGAATCTACTCTATAAGTATAAACAAATAAAAAATTATGAAACAGGTTATCTTAAAAATAATCTCTCTATAAGTATAAACAAATAAAAAATTATGAAACAGATTATCTTAAAAATAATCTCTCCTTCGTCGAAGTCAAAATTATATTCATTTTCCACTCGCTGTGCATCGATAAAATAATGTAATATGTTTCTTTTATTACTAACATTGTACAAATTTGACGGTTTGATAGGTGTGCATGTTCTTGTAGGTCTTGTGGACGCGCTCCTTGATGTGATCGTCGAGATCCTCGGAGAAATTCCGGAACTCGCTCTGCAGTTTCCCCGCATACACCGACTCAGGTCGAAGCTTCTCCGACGGGTCCAGCATTATAAGGCCGGTATTCTGTGTCTATAAGAAAGAAATACTCAGAAACAATTCAGGTACATATTTGTATCCAATTTCTTTCTGTATAAATTATTACGTATAAATTATTACGTAAGTTATATACATACACATACACGCGCCCGCGCCAACTTTCCTACTGCATATTTGCCTCGTGCAATTCAAAACAAACTTTTCTTACGCCTGCGAAAATTTTGGTGTGCAAACTTATACATTTTTAACAATTAACGTGCATTACACTTGCGTGTATGTGTAGACATGATGTGTAAAATACGAAAAAAAATATATATAAAATTACGTGTCGTGATATATTTGCACTCGTGAACTCGTTAACATTATCACATAATTATCACGTGATGTACAACAAGTTGTAGAGAGAAAAATTGGCATTAGATTTTATCCTGTACGTCAGCGCGTTTATCTATCTAATGCATACGCTTGATGATGAAAAGGGAGCATGGATGTTGCGTATGTATCTGTTTCGCGATACAATCGGATGTATAGACGTCGGCTTGCAACGCAAATGGAACTATCGAATTTCATTGATATCCAATACCATTAAATACCACCGGCAAATATTGTGTAATGTTTTTATTATCTTCGTGCGTGAGCGCAAATACGTCGGACTGAGAACGCGATGCATACAATACACGTCACGGACATTTTTTCGGATCCACAAAACGGATCGTATAAATAATAATTTCGTAAGATATAAAAATAATATAAATAAATTATATAAAAATAGATCATAAAAAATAAAAAAATCATAATAAATAAAAAATTATATAAATCATAAAAATCATATAAAAATAAATCATATAAAAATAATATAAATAAATAATATAAAAAAATATATAATAATATATAATAAGTATAATTTCTTCGGTGAGAGAACACCAAAATTTGTCGTTGTCCAAATTTGTCATTCGTCCAAATGTTCGTTCGTTTATTGTTTGAATTATTAAATTTTGAGACATCCTGAATTTGTTCAGGCAACGCGTCCTCGAAATGAAACCATTTTTTCAACTTCAGTCGAAATTTTTTATCTCGCAGTTGTCGCTTCGAAATTTCGTCAAATTGCGATACTCACGATAGTTTTAGCGGACATCTGTGCGGTGGCTGTTTATCAGTTACTCGTGAGCATCCAAACGCAGACTGACTTGTCCTGTGTGCAATCGAGTTAACTTATAAGTCGGAGACGATTCACCTTTGACCCCCCCACTCGTCGAATGTGGTCACATACACACAAACGATATCAAATTTTAGTATGTGCCATCACTACTAATGTCTCTACCATCACCATTATTTCACATTCGTAAACAAAACGTCATACGCGAACGGCAGTTGTCATAAATTTTTATCTGATAAAAATCCAAATTCTAAGTCTTTTATAATAATTAATGTAAATTGGCTTGGAATATAAAAATTACTTTGCAAGTAAGACGACGTGTTAGTGTCACAACGATGCTCCCACTGCACAATTGACTGAGCCTACCGCGGCATATGTATTCCTGAGGCTATTTACAATTACTTTCTGCCTGAAAGGTGATATGAAAAGTATGAGAGATATGAGAAATGAAAAGTGATATGAAAAGTATGAGAGATATGAGAAATAGAAAATATTTGAAAAGCATGTGTCATTTAGGAATTTTTACTAATGTCAGTATGAACTTCCTATTGTAGCCAGAGTTCAATTACTGAACTGGCAGGTATATTCTGTAACTTTCCACGACAGTGCCGTTATCGTTACACTGAGAGAAAAATTATATTAAAATCAACAAATATTTCCTGATAGATGCCATTAACATATTTATTTAAATCTACATTCTCTTTCTTTAAACTAAATATTATTTATTTAAATCAGGTAAACAATACTTGATTTAAATAAAGAGAATGTAAATTTAAGTAAATATGTTAATGGCACCCATCAAAGAAATATTTGTTGATTTTAATATAACTTTTCTCTCAGTGTACGTTATCGTTTTTTTGTCGTATATTATACCTGCGCAACGATGACGTAATTGTTGTTAAAAGTTACAGAGAGCCTGTAAGACAAGCCTACAGAATAAGTCTATGGAATCTCGAAACCTGATCCGTGAAAATAACGACTTTTTTCCAGTTTCTCATCTTCGATAGTCGTCATTTTTTTATTCTCGTTTTCGTTTCTCATCACATGTGAGCGTAAAACAATTCTGTTGCTTAAGCTGTTTTGGTAACAAAATTACTCATGTACATATTTGGAGATTTTCGCATGCTTGACATATTTTTTATCTTTGTCTATATATGTATGATTCTTACAAAATAGTTATTACATTATCGCTAAATCCATCATTGATTGTTGAAATTGAGCAGAAGACAGAATCTTATTAAATCTTATAATATTTAGATGGCATTACAGTACGCAGTAAACTCTGTAAGATGAGATCGTCTCATCCAACAAGTTTTGAATAAACAATCGACGTCGCGTTAAAAAAATATGATAATTATCGCGATAATGCAGAAATTAGACTGGAACCGACACAGGAGAATATATCACTTATCATTAGTTATGAATGACGCTCTTTATATTACGAAAGAAATCGCAATGCACTCTTCTATGAACGTCTTGAAAAAAAGAATTTACGACCCGCGGGATTTTCTTGTTTTAGCAATTTGATCTCAATGAGGGGCTTGTTCGTTCTCCCAAAACGACATTAGCTCGTTGCGACGCAATTCGCTCGTTGATCATGAAACGACTGATTCCACGTACACTTAATTCTATTGTAATTTTAGTTTGGACGCGAGTGAAACAAAATAACACTCTATATAATGTGATAAAAAATCCGATAACGAATTTTGAACAAATTTTGAAAGATCGAACGATAAAATGGTAAATAAACAGACAACGAATCGATATCAATAAACGGATCGGTACCAATCAACGGATAGATACCAATAACATATCTAAAATAAACTCTGAAACGTTCGTCGATAAATCTGTGATTGATAACATTAATAATAATAGTGACGCGGTTCGTTTAAACGTATTAAAGCGTATTACGTGTTAAACTACGTATCGGCCACGATGACACTTGGTGTAGCCGACAAGTGATACAAATACATAATATAATTGATTATTGAATTCCGTCACAATGGATTCAATTATCCTGTGTTACACGTGGTTCGTTTCGATTGTTATAATCTTTTCTTTTTGGCAAGCTATCGCCTCTTCCTGACCTAGGAAACTACGTATCGAAAATTTCACGAATAATAAAATAGAAATTGCTACAACTTTGATTTAAAAAAGATAGAAAACAACAGAGCAGAAAAATAGAATGTGCATACTGAAAGTTATTTTGATTTTAGCGTGAAGGAAACGGTGGTCGAAAACTTCTCACGCGAAAATTTCGAACAATGTGAAATAACTACGTCAACTATGGCTTTTAAATTGATTAATTTGTAGAAATTTCTGCGGAGACTACATGAGAATGTTGAATAACAGAACGGAAAGAAGGATAGTATCGTGTTTTAAAAGAAAAATATTCGCGGAAATTAATGGAAACACGCGGCGATCATCGATATTAGCACAATTGTGTATGCGATCCACAAACACATATATAGCAAATTTCTGTTATATATCTATCTATCGTATACTTGGAGCGAGATTCGGAATCTATTTTCGCGCGTGTATAAAGCGTAAATAATTGATTAATCGTAATAAATTGATTGTTAAGATTTTCTCTCGATAATCTCTTGATGACTATTGCGATGTACTTGTGCATACAGCTTCATGCACATCAAATAAATCAAAGAGATTTTTATCATCATATTACTTACTTAGGACATCAATCGTTGCATATCGATTATTCACAGGAGAACGGGTAGAGAGAACGTCGATTTCAAAAGATATCCCTCTCCTAAAGAAAATTGACAAGGTTTCGCATTCCGTTGACGATCGTAATGACTTGCAACGCGATGCATGGAAATATTCAACACGATAACCTTTGATATCGTATGATCAACGAGTCTTACAACTGGGAGACTTTTATATTTTACAGCAATCGGGATCTCCGTAGGTAGGTTATATAACAAATTTCGAATAAGAAAAAAACGTTTGTATGACAACGGAAAGTTAGAGTGTTTATGAAGGAGGAATAATATCGGAACGCGTGAGAAGTTTTTTTTTCTTTAGACAGGAAAACAAATTGAGTGGAAACCTAAAAGAGCATGGAAACGTCCTGCGATACTTTATGACAAAAGTGTATTAAATCCATTATATAGTTCAGTCAAGAAATATGTATGCAATTTTATGTATGTATATATATATATAATATATATATATATATATATGTATATAACTATATACACTTCGTATATAAATTTATTTCTGTCGTGTAAAGATCTCGAACTCTTCTTATGGCGAACTCGAGTCCGAGTGGCTTGTGTGGCTGTTCCTTCGTCGTGAGTTGTGTTGATGTCTATGTGAGGGGCTGTGCGAACGAGATCTATGCCTCGACGATGACTTCTTGCTCTTCTTAGGTCTGTGCGAACGTGCCGAACTCGAGCTGTCGTAACTGCTGGAAATTAATTTTTATTAATATACGAGATATTTATTATTATACGAAAATATCAGTAGTATATATATTTCACAGTGAAAGTCTCTGTGAAAGATCAAATAAAATCTTGAAAAAAAAGGATATCTGGCAGAAGGAATATAGCATTGGGATAAGGATCGTTACCTTCGATGAGAACTCTTCTTTTTCTTATGCTTCTTGTGAAGTTTGTGTCTGTCGCTGCGACTTCCGCTCCGACTCCTGGATCGTTTTCTAGATCTGCTGCCGCTCAAGTCCGCACTCTTTAATCTGTCCATCAGTGAGTTACCACACGCTTTCATATCCTGTGATCTGTTGTTATCCTCCAGCGACGGTGATGGCACGGAACGCACATCGTCCAAATCATCTCTGCGAGAGCTCGAATTCGTCGTGACAGAGCTAGGCTTGAGCGCTGGCGCTTGAATCTGACTAAGAAACATGGCAGCTTTTTTCCGTCTTTCAAGCTGCAATTGTTTCTCCCTAGAAGTAGCCGCCAACTTATCTCTTGCAGCCGCTACCAGCTTGTCTTTAATTCTGTCCTCTGCCTGTCTGTGTCTGATCTCCTTCTGGCAATCTTCGAGAATATCGTCCGTCAAATCCACCAGCTCCTTGTCGTCGCTTTTTAATTTTTTCTCAGACTTCGACGGATCTTTGTCAACGGCGTTTGAAGATAAATTCGTATCCATGACATCCTGAGGAGACCCGGGCTTAGAGCTTGCGTCCTTCTTATCGTTGTCCATCTCTTCATCGCTTTCCTCCAACGGTAATGCGTTTCTCTTCTCAATCACTGTACTTTCCCCATCCTTCGGCTTCTTGATGGAAAACGAAACGGTCGTGATCTGCTTCGTTCCCTGCGAGCTTTGTTTCACCTTCGCTGGGTCACCCTTCTTCTTCGCCTGTATCATCTTCACGCGTTTTTGTACTTCTTCCATTCTCTGTTGCTTCTTCTGCAGCTCTTCCAACTTCTTCTGTTTCTCTTCTTGCGGCTCTTGCTTCTGCAACAACTCCTCCTCTGTTAGTACTTTGGGATTTATCGCGCCTTCGTATATCGTCAGTTTGTGTGCGTAGTAGCCATGATACTGATGTGACAGTTCCAAAAAATTGAATCTGGGGTCGCCCTTATTCTTGACGATCGTCTCGAAGTCACGGCCATTCTTCGCCACATAACTCGCCATTTTGTCGATTATGATTTGCACATCTGCTGGTGGCACAATAAAGGAGGGTCTGCTGAGTGGCTTCTGCGAAGGTATCCCATACGGTACCAATGGCGACGGCGTATCCTTTGGTGATGAAGCTTGTATCACGGTCGTATCATTCGACAATGGTACGCTCGGCACGTTGAGCTGCGAGGATGATTGAATCTGTCCGTTTGGCCCGTATATAACTGGACCGTGCGAGTATTGCATAGGAGTGGCATAAGAATAATTCTAGAAAAAAAGAATTAAAAATCAGAATTAGAATATATTATGTATATCAACTACAGGTATACAAATTAGTGCTTTAGTTTGTAAATATATACTTTTCAAAATCTAAATATCTTTCTTAAAAACGCGACTTCGTTATTACTTAATAATGTTACTAGAAAAAAATAATGAATTAAAAAATAAGTACATCACTTGGCAGACATACTTTGGAAAAACTGAAAATGTCAAACAGGATCAAGCTATCATTCATACCTGTTGTGGCATCGGATGGTAGTATCCAGCGGACGGCATCAGCTGAACTGTCGTGTCTAATGTTTGCGGCACCTTAGATGGCGGCGGCTTCCCCGTGATCTTGTTCACAAGCATGGAATACGCGCAATCCGCTGATGGTTTATATTGTATGCTCGGTATACTAGGTGCCTATAAGCAAACAAATTTATCTTAGTACGTTTTACATTTATACTATACGATTGTATCTTTCGAGGGTATTGGATATAATCCACTTCAAACTTCAAAGGCATTCTACTATTATATAAAATATAATTAACATATGTATCATTCCACATCTGATTATATTCTAAATACTTCAAATCTTATAAAATGTTAAGTGAATTATATCTACTGCAATAATTTTTTTAAGCACTAAGTATCTAAGTTTTTTGTGTTGGAATTATGCATTTTAGCATGGCATGATAAATGAACAAATAAAAAATATACGGGAAGATTCAATGTATACTAGTGAAAATATTGGATGAAATAATGTTGCTGAGTATCACTTAACATTTCATCCTACTGACAAATAAACCTACCCAGAAGGTAGGTACACTGCAATTTCTTTCTAATTTAGCACAAATGTAGAAGTACAAAAAATATTTAGATCATATTTTTTCATTTTGGCCTATCTTGAGTTTCACGGGTAGTTTATAGCTTTTTAATATTCTCACTCCTATCATTAACAAGTACAACAAAAGTGAATAAGAAATAAAATTGAATACAAGATATAGTTAAATAATTTTAACAAAATCGGCATAGCTGACACGAACCATTTTAAATTTCTTTAGCCGAGATTCCAACCGAAATATTTCAAATGTGTTAAATTAATCAAAAATGTTTCGAATCTTGGCTAAACCGAGAAATTATTTGTATAAATAATTTTTTAAACTTTTTACATGTTTCCTTTAAACATTGTATTATTTATACAAATAATTTTATACATTTGACTTCATATTCATAATCAGTAAACCAAAAACGCCTGTATCTTGTATTCAATTTTATTTCTTATGCATTTTTGTTGCACTTGATGATAGGAGTGAAAACATTAAAAAGCTATAAACTGAAACTCAAAGTGGGCCAAAGTGAAAAAATATAATCTAAATATTTTTTGTACTTCTATATTTATGCCAAATTAGAAAGAAATCGGAGTATAATTTTTGGGTAGGTTTACTTGTGAGATCCATGCACTTTCATATACATTATTCTAAAATGATTCAGGAAATTTCAATAAAATTTTCCCGAAAACACAGGAAGAGTCGTTTTTTTAAAAGGTTGCAATTTTAGGGGATTAAATTTTAAATTTAAATTTTTAATGATATGCATCGTGCAAGAAGGACTCACCGCTTCGATCTTTGTAAACGATGGCGCGAGACTTGGATGTAGGTACGGCTCGTCATCTGCATCGGACTCTTCCTCGGGTTCTATCATTAAAAAAGACAAAAAACAAAAGATTAGAATCGTGAATATATCAAGATAATTAACGAATGGATTAATACAGTGGATAGCGATGTATATTAACAAAGTTTTATGGCAATACTTACGGCAAGAAAAACTAAGTAGAATCAAAGTAGGTGTGGGTAATCAAATCCTGCTTTATGTTGCTTCAATTACCTCAACTCAATAATGTAAACTTCAATGTGATATTACTATGAAGAGATTCTCTTTTTATATAGAAAATAATATGCATACCTGATTCTTCTTTCTCAGGTTGTTTTTCGGGATTATATTTTCCACTCTTGATAGCATCGAGGACATATCTATAATACTGATGAAGTGGCTCGTCTATCGATAGGAACGCAAACTGCGGATTGTTTGCTTGTTTCGCCTTTATCAGAATTTCCATTTGGCTTCCTTGCCGACTGATAAACAATGCCGTTTTCGTTATAATGGCATTCAACTTTTGAGTTTCCGGCTAAACACACAAAATTGATATTATTTCATTTACAAGTTTTACTTGAGAAAATCATGCTTATATACATATGATTTTCAAAATAGTCTTAAATATAATATCAGATGATCTTAAGGCTCCTGGGGAGTCGCATCATCCATCTCTTTTTAATGACGTCAGAAGCGAGAAAACGTATGCTAAAAATTCCTGCAAAATACGTCGAGATAAACAGATATATCCACAAAACGACATTTGCGATCGATTAAGTACACCTCTAAAATACTCCGTACACTTTCCTTTTGTTCTAACAATCAACAGATAATTATAAAATAAATGTGACGTGCAATCGTCTTTTCTAACCTAATTTCCTCATTATCTTGTCATATTAATTTTCCGATTATCTATTGATTTTTAGAACAAAAGGAAAGTGTACGGAGTATTTTAGAGGTGTACTTAATCGATCGCAAATGTCGTTTTGTGGATATATCTGTTTATCTCGACGTATTTTGCAGGAATTTTTAGCATG